TAGTAACGTAGTGGGGACTGATGAAGTACAGGTAGTAAATGGGACGTTAGATCACAAAATGCTGTGTCTTGTATTACAGATTTCTAAAATTGTAAAAAAAAAAAACTCGTCAGGAACGTAAGGTCAAAGAATTTTAAGATGGTGATAATGCGTCCATTCTTGAGTATTTAGAAGAACACTGACTATTTCAGTCGGCTAGGTGACGCTATTGATCTTTCGAGAAAATTCAAGCATACTGTTTCTTACTGTACACATCACTTTGTTCCGTCAAGGAGCGTGAGAGGAAGGCGATACAATTTCTGGGTAACGAGAGAATTCTTACAGATCAAGCGAAAGGTAAAGCGCAAAATAAAAAAAAAATAAAACGAAAATGTATTGGAAATTGTAACCTTGAAACTACAATTGAAGGATCTTGTCGCCCAAGCTAGAGAAGGTTATTGTGGAAATGTGCTCTCTCGCTCTTTGCGGGAATCACCGCAAACATTCTGGGTTTTTTTCTCGTCCAATAGGGGAAAAATATCTCAAGTGAAGGTAAATGATCAGGTTGTCACATGTCCTATTAGAAATGAAGATGAATTTAATAAGTACTTTCAGCCAGCTTTTACTGCGTCATGTGACCAGCCGGGATACCAAATCAGCGGCTCGCATGAACCCCGGATGTCGGACGTGGTTCTTTCAGAAAGCGATGTATTCAACTTAAATATTAACGGTAAAACAGCTTCTGGGTCGGATGACATTTCCAATGAGTTTTTTTAAAAGATACGTTGAGTGGGCCTCTCGATATCTCGTCATAATCTTTAAGGCCTCGCTCCAACAGTCCAGGCTACCAGCAGATTGGTCGTGCGGCAAAATAGTACCTATTCACAAATCAGGGGACAAAATGACTGTTCAAAATTACTGTCCCAAAACTTTAAGAACGACGTCTTGTAAAGTTTTGGAACACATTGCTTCCAAACATATCACTGAATACTTGGAACAAGACAACTTAACATGCAAACATCAGCACGTCTTCAGAAAAGGACTATCGACGATCACACAATTAATTGAATGTGTGCACGCGTTTTCATTTGAGGTAAATGAGCGCGATCAAGTAGATGTCGTGTTTATGGACTTTTCCAAGGCGTTCGATAGCGTGCCTCATGACAAATTGATCGAGAAACTTCATTACCTGGGGCTGAATAAGAATATAATAGTGTGTATCATGTTATATTTAACTAACAAAACACGTTATGTCTGCTGTAATGATGCACGTTCTGTGCCGCTAGCTGTTTATTCGGGGGTGCCACAGGGGTTCGTTCTAGGTCCACTTATGTTTTTTTTATATATTAACGATATAGCCAAAGATATATTTCTTGTCATTCAGGTAAAACTATTTGCAGATGATTGCATGCTGTTCATTAATGTGTATACAATTGCAGACCAGGAATTACTTAACGCTTCTCTAGAAAAACGGAACTCATAATGCGAAAGATAAAGCATGGTAATCAATTTTGACAAAACGTTTTTTTAGTATTACAAATAAGAAAAAAGTTATAATATCGATATATATATATAATTGGAAGCGTACCAATGCGAACGGTAAACAGATTTAGGTATCTAGGTGTTGTATTTTCCAGTAATATGCGATGTAACAACTACGTGGACAACGTTTGTGCAAAGGCCTGCACAAAGCTAGTACTCCTAAGAAAAAAACTTATCCATGCTAGCAGTGACGTGCGGCTACTTTCTTAAAGGTGCTAGGTTCGTTCGGTATTAGAATACGAAAACTCTGTATGTGACCCATATAGAAAAAGTCAGAATTCTCAAATAGAAAGAATAAAAAATCGGGCTCTAAGATTTGCTTTTTCCAGATACAACCGAAAAGATTCTGTTTCAGCACTGAAACGAATGACACAACTTGACTCTTTGATTAAGCGAAGACATATGGCAAGACTAAAACAACTATTTTGTATCGCAAACGGAATGATGAAGATTGATCCTCAGTTGTACCTGTGGCCTTCAACATCACTCTCCCAGAGGACCACTAACATCCAAGGCGATTGCTCCTTACCGATATAAGAATGATGCTTTCAAGTACTCCTTTTTTTTAGAACAATTTTTGAATGGAATGTCCTACACAACAAAGCTGTCAGCTGCCATGATCTTAGCTCATTCGAGTTGGCATTACGCGAGTGTTTACTTGACTAGTATATACACGTATCGCACGTTGAATATGTATTTAAAAGATGCACCGGAGGCAACTACCTTGCTTGTGCTAGTGTAATTATCCGTCCAAGTGCTGGAAAGTGATTGATTTGCTTGCTCAAACCTTTTTTTTTTTTTTTCTCTCTCTCTCCTGCGTTGACCGCAAGGTTCGCAGTATCGTAAATAAATAAAAAGTTGAAATTTCTAGGTCTGTATTGGCCCGGAAGCGATACGCGGAGACAACACTACTCTTCCATTCCCGAGTCTTGTAAGTATACAAAATGAGAACGCCAAATGCTTGTAACACTTATTGATGACCTGGGAAACTAACCATCTTACCGCTACGGAATTTTAATGCAATGCAAGTGGAAACTCTGGAAACGTTAAATTTATGGGGTTGTTGCACCTTCCGAACATACGTGTATACGTTACAAATAAAAGTTAATAAGTAGAGTCACTCGCTACTCGCTCAGGTTACTCGTTAACAAGGTTCAAAAAGAACGCGTTAGTTACTTCAACTCGAAAGTAACCCTCAAACTTTCTTTTTCTGGACACCGTAAATAACTTTTTTTTTTAAGGTGATGTTGCTTTGAAGCAGCAGCTGCCATTCAACGTTGTTGTCGCTATAGTCTGTTGCAACTCAAGAAGGTAGGGCGGGAGGAAGCAGACGGAACGCTAAAGAGAGAAGCAGGTTTTCACCTTTCTTCTCCAGCGTTCCGTCTGCTTCCTCCTCCTCGGTCCGTCCTACCCTCGCCCTACCTTCTTGAGCTACAACAAACTATAATGCTTCCTGTTGTTATTGTTGTTGTTGTTGTTGTTTAGCACAATATCGACGACGATAAATTTGCACAGAACTCTGTGATCTATCAAGTGAAGCATAAAATCTTCTTTGTTTCTTGATTAGACCATGTTGAAACCCAGTTATACGAACTTCATTCCTTCATTCGGAAGGAACCGGTTAGCCCAATAAGGATCTGACCTATAAACATCCCATCCCAATAATGATGACATGCAATGTCAACGCGTAGAGCGAAAATAAAATTAACGAAGTTTGAAAGTTTGTGCAATGGTTCATTCGACGTTTGACAGGGGTGTCGCTTCTGAGTTTAGTTCATCGGCATGCACCGACAAACTTCTCAATGCAAGCGCACCGCACGCTGAGATATGTAAATGACGTTGTTCATAGAATACCTGTAACTCTCATATTCATTTAGGCGTATAATACTCTCACTATACTGGTAAACATCTGGTCAACACACGAGTGCAAACGTCTGAAAAAGGACGAACAGTCAACAGATACAACCTCGTGCTTTGCATTGATTTCTACTCAAAGCTTGCAAGGCCGTTTAGGATGACCAGTGACGGTGATGTTTTCAGCGATAGGTGTCTGCACTTTGTGCATTCCTCTTCGCATTGTTGATCTGGCGTTTGAGAGCCACATTGCGAGTTGGGGCGAAGACACGCCTGGTGCTGTACACATTGTTAAATAAAGTAACAAAGCGCTTGTAATGACGCTGTTAGCTTTCTCTCCCCGACAGATTGTCAGCCGACTGCAAGGGTCACCATCGCGTACCTTTAGGCTACTTTGGCCGCATGAAGGCCGCTCCTAATCCGCCGTGGCATTCAAGTCGTTGGGCGCTTCGACAATGCAAGCGCTTTATCGGGAGACCCACGTCAGGTCCATTGTGTGCCGATGCGCGTCCAGGTGACTTAAAACGGGGCCAGGGTTGTTTGAACGTCTTCCTCCGTATTAGTGCTGGCGACACAGTTCACCTGGACTGAGTTTCGCTCGAATGACTTTCGAACTGCTTGAATCTCTGGAGAGATTGTTAAGTGGAAAGAACGCGTTAAAACTTACGGGCAGGCTTTGAGAAGCTGAGACTGCGTCCGGGGTCATATTTGTTTGTGGTGGTGTGTCGCGCTTTGCTGTTTTTCACGTTGAACGCCCGCCTCCTAGGTGTTTGTTTCAGCACCACCGAGGGTGTGAAAAGGTTGAACGATCGCTCCTAACATTTAAGGGACCACATAACTTTACGGTTCAGTTACTCGTTGCTTGGACAAAAAGTGACGAAAAGACCTTTTTTGGTCTTTTCGTCACTTTTCGTCACTTTTGTCACTTTCAAAAACTTGCTCGTGCATTCCCCGGTGGGGAATGCACGAGCAAGTTTTTGAAAGACTGTGATGGTTGAAGCCGCACAGAATACCGGGGAAGCCAGCAGGATTGTCCCAAGATCGACCGCTTCGAGCCTGTCACCATGCCCCGCCATGTCGCCGTGAGTTTCACTCGCTGTTAGTGAGCCGCTAGCGACGATAGCGCGTTCTTATTGCCTCTCTACTGCGGTAGACTGCGCTCAACGCAACTGTGTGTACAAGCTTGGCGCAAGCGCTCTTAGCAACGCTATGCGTCCGCTTACCGCTACGGAAAGCAGTGCGCTCGAACGCAGATGTGCATAGGGGCCTTTACATGGTACCCTGCGCTACATAGTATGCGCGAACACGACGTCTACGCTTTTTCACCGTTCACTCAGACAGGACATTTTCGAGCACTTAGTTCTAACGCTTAGGCTGGCTCCGCGAATCAACACTTTCCCTAAAACTCCTTTTTTTTTTATGGCAGCTTTACAGTTTTAGGAAATAGCCAGAAAAAAAAAACTCAGAGGCTTCTTGTTTTGTGTTGCCCTGCGACCCTCACTCTAAGACGTACCCGCCTACTTTACCGCAGCATGAACTCCAAAATCATACTACTGGTGCTCAGAAACTATGTTCGTGGTGGTGTGTGTCACCGCGCAAGGAGCGCATTTTAACTATTCCTCATATCAGATGAATTTCTTCCAAAACAGGCAGTTTTCACCGCCGAATCCGTTTTTTGCAGCTGCACTTGCGTTCTGGAAGCTGATGTACGGTCTACTTTTGGGCTCGTAGGCTGGCCACGAAACCCCATTCGGCAACTCTGGCTTCCTGGAAATGGAAAAAAAAAAAATATCAACCACATATTTTTTTACACGATCATCCGACCAGCCTGGTTCGAGTCCCTCAATGTTATGAATCGGCGCCACTTGATGAATCTGTCGGGAATTTCGATGTCGACTGAAAAGATGAGGCCCTTCTTGGCAAGGCCGTGTGTCTTCTGGTAATAAATTTGGCACGGCGTCTTTTAGTCCCGGAAAGCAGGAAGTGATTTACCCACGCAAGTAAAGGGCACAACGACGCCGTTGGCAATTCGCCCGGTATTTCGTCAACGGAGCCGTCACTTCGGTTATTGTGCAATAAGTAAAAGTGATTGACGCATCTTTATTCTCGTCATCATTATTACTGACGATTGTCCGCTATTTTTTAGTCTTTTTTTAGGTATTGCGAAGAGCGATCTACGTTTCGAAGAAACTTAAAATATTTTCACCAGAAAAGATTATATTCGAGCCCTATTGTTTCCCCAAGATAAATCGCATAGGCGGACGAGGCAGTATGCCACTCAGAACAAAGGTGTCTTTGGATTGTTTGCTTTCATGCTGAAATTAATTTGTTTTTAATTTGATTTAATACATACTTCGAACCATGTAGGTCCAGGTTAGTGTTATCAGTTTAGTGATTTTTCCGCTCAATTTAGGGAGTTTTTTAGTGGTCTAGATGGAGGTATTGCCGCTTTGAGGTTGAGGGGATTTTTAGCGGTTTTCAAGTATTGTGAATGTTGTTTTTGTTTTTTCTGGCGTTCTATAATGTTCTCTAATTTACACTTATAAATCGTATAAAGCTTCATTTCTGTGATAAGTTATTTATCGAGTCGTCATATTTCTGTGTACTCAACGAAATTGTTGTAAGCGAGAATAACGCTTGCGACGCCATTACAATTTAGGTTGGCAAACATTGAAACCTGCTATAATCTAATTTTTGCGATAATGTTTTAATTCGTTTTTTTTTTTTTTGTCAGATGAATCTGACTTAATAACTTACGCACAAAAAAAATAAATGTTAAGCTATAAGACCCTAAACTTCATAACCAGTTACTGGAAGACTCTAGCGACCTCAGACGAGTCAGATACCTTTAGTGGGAAATAAACCTTCTTTTAAAGCATGCATGCGAACTTATTGGGGGTATTAACTAGCGGCCATAGCTGTGTGCGCGAATGCTGAGCGCGTGCTGATGGCGAGTTTAACAGTTCTTTCGAAACGTGCATTCCACACCACCAAGATTGCCGGACTTGACAGCCTATTAATGTGAGCTCATTCTGATCCTGCACTTTAAACAGCACAGTCAAATATGGCGTCCAGTGAATTGCACGAAATATCGGAACGATGAAGGCACGTCGGCAGGTATGGAAACGGAGCGAACCTGTTAGCACTATGATTACGCAGTGGACATCGTTCTGTGCATAGAAGTGGTCTGAGGGAAATTAACCCCAACGCAATTCTAAATATTGCAATAAGTGTCTTTATGGTTAATTGAGTTATTCTTCACCACGGTGATAAAAACCTAGGCTTGAATATGTTGCCTTTGCGTGCAGCTGTATAGTACTATATCATATTTCAGTGTAGTTTGACCATTACATCGGGCGTCCAACTGAAGTAAGTCCAACTGAAGTAAGTCCATAGAGCCTCCAAGTCTCAAATAATGAGAAGTTATATGAGCAAAGTAAAATTTATATAAATTTGTCACGTACCCTGTGTGTGCAAAAGTAATCCAGGCCCGCAATACGATTTCACTGATCCGGGCGTCGTCTCTGGAGTACCTCTCTGGGCGACGCAACGGAACGCCGAACACAAACTGGATCTCGTCTGTGTGAGTCACATCCAATTCTTCGGGCCAGGGGCTTGGTGTTGCTCGGTGCTGAAACCTGTAAGTCCATAGCTTGGGCAGCCAACCTGCCAAGGTGTCTGCCATAAACACAGTGGGACAGTCGAAAAAGAAGTGTCCGGCTGCCGCTGCCATTGTTGCGAAAATTTCTCCCGAAGACGAGTCGTGAAGCTGTTCCAGGTAGTGAGCAGCTACTTCATCGAAGACTTCTTTCGGAAAAGCGCCGAATAATTGTGATATAAAGCGCCTTGCAGTGTCGATATCAATTCCCTCACTAGTCCAGTTTTTGGGAAGACTAACGCCACTGCCAGTGTAGTACACAATAGCTCCTTCCCTAGAGTTCATACCCATGAGCACATCTACGGGCAAAAACCGACCCCCTTTAGAGGCTGTCACGGGATGTATGGGTACAAGTTCGTCCCCAAAGCTGGGCTGGAAGGTGAATAGGTGATCTTCAAAAAGCTCCAATTCGGAGCGAGCTATCTTTTCGGCGGAAACTTTCTGAAGGCAGTTTACAGCCTCGGCGTGAAAGGTAGTCATTTCGTTTGGAAGACAGCCCACGTTGCGAGCGAGGTTCAGCGCTCGCTCCATACCCCCTTCGTTCTCCAGTGGCACGGGCCAGCGTGGAGTTCCACTCTGCATTATGATTCTCCGAATTATGCCCCTGCACAGCGGTGACTGGGCTAGCATGCCTGAGCTTGCACCACCGACGCTTTCCCCGAACAAGGTTACTCTGGAAGGGTCTCCACCAAACGACGCGATGTTCTCATTCACCCAACGAAGTGCCGCGTATTGGTCCCACAGTCCCATGTTTCCCGGTATGTCCGTCACGTTGGCGTTCAGGAAACCCAAGGCGCCCAACCTGTAGTTGAAAGATACTACGACCACACGACCATAATCAGACAGAATGGTGCCATCGTACAAGTCCAAGTCGGAGGCGCCGATTCGGTAGGAGCCACCATGGATCCAGACCATCACTGGCAGGCGGGTGGGCCAGGGAAGGCTCGTCGGCACCCAAATGTTAAGATAGAGGCAGTCTTCCCTGCTCCTCGTTTCGTCGCCCTGCCAAGGCACCGGGGGAATCCTACCTCTTCTCTGAAAGCAAGGTCTGGGCAGCTGTATCGCGTTCAGAATGCCTCTCCAAGGCTTCTTGCGGACAGGTCTCTTGAAACGTCTCGGTCCGACCGGTGGCTCCGCGAAGGGTATTCCCAGGAAGGCCTTCGCGCAGTAACGCCCCCTGCAGACCTGCTTCCCAGCCACGAGTCCCAAAGACGTGGGCACGACTCGCTCCAGAGTTGACGCCAAGGCGATCCAGGCGGCCATTGCCCCTGCAAGATATGAGTGAATAAATCAAATGCGAAAAAGTCTCTTTTTGATGCATTGTATGTATCCTAAAAATTAACTGAAAAACCAGGACCTACTACTTCCTGAAGCCCTCTCAGACTATTTTAATGATAAAACTACGTATTGCTAGTGTAAATTTGTTTTCAATTGTGACCTGTTGTTCAGTGCACGATCAATTGTCAGACAGTATTGTGCTATGTATTACACAGGTTAAATTGAATATATTTACTCCCCGGAACTCAGCAGACAAGACTTTTAATAAAAAAATAGTTAGATTTAGAAATACGCAATGCGATTGCAAGTAGCTACCCCCCGAAACCCATTGCTAGCCCTCTCGTTAAATCTTCAGTTTAAATATTTTTTCTTCGAGATAGCAATTCATAACGAGATAACCAAGTGATCGAAAAAGTTAGGATATATGTGGAAGGAATTTCTCAATTACTTTTGCAATAATGTAGTTGTGTAATTTACTGGAATAGCATGCGATCTCTAATCTTAACATTAATTCAATTTTTGTTCGCCTCAATATATTGCTCCATCCTCCTTTGCACTCCGTATCGAAGTCTATAAAACAATGGCCAAAAGGAAATACACACCTAGTATCACTGGAAAACACGTTCGCATTCTTAGCAGCTTCAAGGGAATACCTCTCAAGGGATACGAGGACCTCTCAAGACGTCCTCGTATTTGTTAGTACAAAACTTACAAATTTTGTGTAGAAGTCGACACGCATGACATCAGATGTTCACGGGGCATACACGGTAGACAGCCTGCCCAGATAATGGTTACTACATCTAAACGGTGGTTTAAATGCCCCTCGAAATTTCGCCATGCCCTCAAACAATAAAAGGCAGTAAAATCTACGACGCTCATTGTGTTTTTGGCGGTCTTCCCTGACGTTTGATCGACGGGAAGAGATACCATTTGAAAAGACGTGCGTGCACCAGGCGTTGTATAGCTTGGCACAGGTGATGCGTTTCAAAGGCAGATTACCGCCACATACCCGGCCCTTACAAAGGGACAAAGAACAGGTGAGTCATTGCATATGCCAGATAAATCAAGTAATAACGACCTCTAACATTAAGAACTACATGGATATATTTCATGTTTTAACGGCGTGTTGTTCACGATGTCAATCGAAACTCATGGTCCTAACACTCCAGAAGCGCATTGGGGTGATTGCACAAACCGATTACGCGAGACATTCTACATAACTAAACCGATGTCACAGACATGGCTTCAATTGATACACCACAATGGTCTTAAATTGAAGACCTTTGTGTTTGTATTTTTCGTGTGCACTCTTTAGTTTCAGCATCTATACGTAGCTGAAGCTTAAAAACTGTATTGCTTAGAAGTATAAGATATTGCAACAATATTGCGATGCAACGTGCCCCTCAGAACGATGCCAACCAAGCTTCTCTGTACATACATCCTTTCGTTTTAATTTTCCACTTTTAGAGGTATTGCTAAGGGCCGAAAATAGTTGCATGATCTTCAACAAGTGTGCCGTTAATTGCGACCTTTCAGTCCACTCATTATTTTATAGAAGCATGATGTAATTACATGATGCCCGATCAGAAAAATAATATGGGTGTTATAAGGTTTGTCTGTCATTCAAAATGCGCACCACTATTTTCTACGTTTTTGATTGATTTGCGCAACGTTCTTACAGTTGTTGGCGGGCTATAGCGACCCGGCTGGTCGGCGTTATCAACCACTTCGCAACTCGGCATTTTGTGCCACCAAAGAACTCGAGCAGATGACATACACTGATCCTTGTACCTATACACCTCTTTCAACTTACAAAAACTCGCAACCACACTCTACAAAAAGCCCGTGCGTCTACTTTCCCGCACGACACTCGGAGAGGCAATCATCGCAACTTACGGAGGTAGCTCAGCGAATTACGATGCCGAAACATATGTTGAGACCTAAAAACGTAGTCTGAGTTGTGACATTAAGCAATGCAAAAAGGCACGTTTGCATTGCCTAATGTCTCAACTCAAACTGCGTTTTTTCGTCTAAGCTTATGTTTTGGCATCGCCATTCACTGAGCTGCCTCCGTAAGTTTGGGTGATTGGCTCTCCGTGGTCTTGTGCGGGAAAGTAGACGCACGGACTTTTTTAGAGTGTAGTAAGTGTTCTTAGATTCGCAAGGAGGTTCCAATATCATCCTGATTCCGGCCGACAACATAAAGACATGAAGAGACTTCACGGCGCCTGTGCGTAAGATAAACCACCTACGATGTTCAAAATAAAGAGGTTCAACATGAGGATGTGCACTCCCGCGGTGTTTGTCAACTATACATGCACACTCCGGTCTTTAATGGTTACACCTCAGAAGTCATTTGTTGTATGGGTGTTTTGACAGCGGGAAGGGCGTCTGGTACCTCCGCTCTCGGTATCTCCGTTTAGTGCGGCAACACGACCGGGACGCGCGACGGTATACACGCTGCTCAGCCAGACCGAAGCAGGTAGGGGCGGGATCAAACTCGGGATCTCCGGATTCTGAAGGGCGAGCTTTCGCTCAACGCCGCTGGGCTCCACTGCGCTAACACACTGGCGTTTCAGTTGTCTTGGTTAGGCTCTCTACGATTGCATACATCTGGTTCCTCACATTCCCGATAGTCCCAAATGCTTGCGCGGAAAAGAAAGAGGTCGATTTTCAGAAGCAGCTCTTTTGTGTAGTAATGAAACCTTTTTGGTAATGACGTTTTTTCTATTCACTTGTTTTATACCATTGCATGACTGACTTGAAAGTAAAGTTTCCTTTTTCAGTATTTAGTGCTCTAGTCACGTACTATTTAAGCTGCAGTATTTAATACCCTACTCAGCTACTATTTGGCCTGGTATTCGGTGACTCAAATCACTTTAGCTTTAGTATTTTATAGAAGCCTGGTTTGTCCTGTGTGTGCGTGTTTAGGGGTAAAGCAGTGAAGCAGCCGACCTCGTGCTACAGCGTCACTTACCCTTAATCGAGCCCCTGACATCGGCCGCTACAATTCAGCAGACCGTACTTTCAACATTCACATATTTGCAAGAAGTTATTCACACAACTGGCAGACCATTTTTTTTTTTTTTTTACCTTCAAAAACACGATGAGCTAGGCGACGAAAATAAAATGAATTTCCGTAAAATGACACTCACCAAACAAGAAAAAAAAACGATATAGAGTGGGTGAAGGAACGCTATGGATTCTAGTTCCTTCCGATCGACAAATAGTTAATTTAGAGTTTGCCTCCGTCTTTAGCCTCAAATACGTTTCTGCGCATTTCACCTGTCGCAGCTGAGAATCCAGGAGAGTTTTAGTTCGTTGGAGTCTTCCTTTCGTAACTAACCCAAAGATGGACGTGGACACTAGTGACCGAGAACGAGTAGTAGGGTAATATTCATAATAAAAACGTAATGCATCCACCTTTTTTATATATATACTGCATAACATATGGGAAGCAGCAGATTCACTGTCGACCTCGCTTTTGATGCCTGCGAGAACGGTCCTATAAGTTGATTAATTAACCACTTAATCCCACTTTTCTTTCTTTATTACGGATATTATTTCGCTAATTAGTGGACGCCAAATAAACAAGAATTATACCGAAGCAAAAACGTAGGCCAAAGGTTTGAGAAGAAACACACTAAAATATTTACACCCTCAAGAGTGTGCGGAAGGGTGCTTCAGATACTTACCAAACGGCTATACACCCTTTCAGCTCCAATACTTCGAGTAATACGCCTGTCATAATTGCGAGGTCGGGTGCCGTCCAATTGAACTCGCTCCATCCTCTGAAGTGTGTAAGAATGGCGTAGTAAAGGGCGTTGCACTGTAACGCGGGCAAGCGCCAATACACCAGCTTCAGACACCTATTCGCGACTCCAGCAAAACGGACGCCACCAAGCGGGAAAACCGGGAACCAGCCGGTCCAGGTCGCTCCGCGCCCCTCCGCGTCTCTGGTGGCTTTCGCGGACACGTGTTGTCGGCGCGGTGGCGAACAATGTAATTTCACGAAGGTTCGAAAATGTCTTAAGTTTGCCTGAGTGTTCATTAGTGTGGCGAAGCCTCAGTAGATTGCTTCCTTCCATCACGTGTTTTCGATTTCTTTGATGGGGAGGAATCGCGGAAAAACGTTTTGATTTCTTGTCTGTCTCGAATCACATTCAAAGTGACGACTACTTGGTAACTGATAAGGGGTTTCTTTATAAGGACGTAGAACAGTGGGAGGACGACAGACGAGGCATTTCACTGGAGGGAACACCAATGCTGCAGTCAAGTGAATGGGAAGGTTCGATAGCTGCTTCTCTTGAGTTTGGTTGTGTTCGATTAGCTTCAAGTTTGAGCCACCCACGGCGGTCGGTGCGTTGGTTATTCATCTTGGCTGCTTTTTGCCGAAAAATCTTCTGGACCACTCTGAAGGATTTGGGCTGATTTCGCAATTATTTGATTCAGGAAAGCCTGCTCGCTGCAAATGAAGAATGAGGGAAATTATCTGTTTTCAAAAGGTGGGGGACGAGTCTCGCAACGTTAGAAGCTGTCACGGCATTATGATCTATCGCGCCTCCATTATTTATATTATACCCCCGTCGAATTAAGCCAACAGCAATATACGTCTACACTGCTCAGGTTGACCGGCCACAAAAATACTGATTTTTTCCGTTCAGGATTCGAAGTCAAGTTCAGTGCAGAGAGGTTCTGCGTGAATCTCCAATGAAGACTCTCTTCAGTTTGTCCGCATTCGTCTCCGTGCTACCGGCTAGAACCATTTGATTAAGTTTAACTTAGTATCTCTCTGTCTGCCAAATATACTTTTATTCAGCAGTTCACTTAATAGCTAATTAACTAAGGTAATATTTCAAACCGAAGAATATACTAATATCGCTTTAGTGGGACGTAGTACGTAATATAATACATAACCCGCTCGTCAAAATGACTTCTCGATTGTTACTAAAACCTGAATTGAAATACGAGTATCAGCTGCTCAG